ATTTTTTTTGCAACTCATAACAGGAGCGCTGACCACATCTGGACAGCAAATAAAAGGCTCTTTGTCTTAAAGACACAGCCTCTTCCTAATCCTGTGATAACCTCTTTCTCCCCACAGGATGGTCAGAGGTACAATAAATCAGTTGTAGCACCCTGGGAAGCTAGAATGGACATTATGTTGGCTCTCCAAAGAAGCAACAGCCGTGCCCTTGCTGATACCATGAATTAATTTCAGTGCCATACCTGTAGTGTTCTTTTTCCTACTTGCATGTGGCAGTACCATCTTTTGGGATGCCAACAGAAAAAGCAACTCCAAAGACAGAGTGTCTTGGATGACATTGCTCTCCTCATATTCCATTGCAGTAACAGCAAGCCAGTCGCAGGAACACTGCCAGATGTCCCCACAGGGATATGGGCTGAGACTTGAGCTGGTTGCAGAGCAAGGAGCATCTGTGCTTGCTGCACACCTACCTTCAGTTTAGCTATGAAATCCTGATGATCTCAGGTGTTAGGAGGACCACAGTAGGTTTGTAGGAGTCAATGCAAAGTTCCCAGCTGGTTGGGAAGTTCTCTCTTGGGCACTGTTACCAGTTTAGCACAGTTGCCCCTGTGGTTTCTCCTCTCTGTGTCATTCTTCACTTGGTCAGGAATGAGGTCTCTTAGCAGCTGCTGAATATTCTCAGAACAAGGCCCTAAGCCAGTGTCTATTCAATAATACAAAAAAAAAAAAATTGTCTCTGACAGCAAGCAAAGAGCATGAGTAGCCCCTTTCCTGTGAATTTGGGTTCTGTACATGTGACTTTTCTTCATGCCTGTTTTGTAACTGGTGTTTGTATGACTTTCACAGGACCTATACAGTGATTTTTGTCTCCTGTCTTATATCAGACTTTGTATATAAGTTGCATTTCTTCATTCTATCAGGAAATATTTTTTAAAAATTTTAATAACTGTCAGAATAGCAGGACATCAATTAACTGGTGTTTACCCCATAGGGGATGATTCCTATTTGATGTTTATTACCAGCTGATGCTAATGAATATGTTTTGTTCATGTCTCACCGTACAGTGGAACAACTGACATCTTGCTAGCTCAAAATGAGCTTTTTGGACACAACTGGGAGTGGAAGCCAAGAAAACTCTTCATGAAATAGTTATCTGTGGAGATGCAGACAAATAGCTCCTAGCAGGGATGCATTACTATTAGGCAAGCAAAAACAGGAGCTTTACAATTCATGAACATTTCCTTTGCATTTTTTTTCTTCAGGAGGTACCCAAGGCAGCCTAACTAGCATTGCAGAAGGAAAAAATAAAAAAGGTAATTCTAGAAGTTGAGGTTTTTATACACACTGAGAGAGAAATTCTGCCATGTTAAAGGCATGGATTACTGTGCTGTACATAACCCCTGAGAAAAGAGCTGGATGTATGCTGGATGGATTGTGCATAAAAACTGAAGCTGTTTAACTGAAATTAATAATGCATATAGAAATATTGACTAGAAAACTGTGTCCAGAGGGTGAGCAAACTGCTGACCTACATGCACATGAATGAAGTTGTATTTAGTTGGTCCATGTTATATTTGAAATGGAAGAGCAAAACATTTTACAAACAAATAAAACCCAATCAAGTCTAAATTTTCATTTTATACTCTCTACCACTCTGATGTTGTAATAAAAAGACTATGGCCTCTGCTCTCACATAATCCTTTCTCAAATTCAAAACCATTAGGTTTTATCTTTTTATACTTTCCTTTAGAAAATAGGTATCTTTTGCCACTAGAAGCCCTCAGTTTAGCTCAACATCCATTTCAGCATTGACTGATCCTGAGGACATCTATTGCAGGCTAGAAAAGCACTGTGATGGACCATGGGCATGCACCATCCCTGGGCTCAGAGGCAGGAAGATAGGAGGGGATGCAGGAGCAGGTGGGATCACAGACAAGCTCCCAAGAAGGGCTTGGTGGTATTGGGAAAGAGGCCATGACTTGTGTAAGGGTGTGTAAACCTTTAGTGGCTGGAGTTCCACATGCAGCTTTCCATTAAGAGCATTAAGGTACTTAGTCTTGGCAATAGTGAAATACGTTTATTTGACCCCTCACCAAGTCCTGTATTTAGCAGTACTGTAAGGCATCAGTATTAAAGCATGGCCTAATAATAGAGGTTACAAGTAATAGTGACAGAAGTACCAAAGGAGGATCTGGGTGTTATTTAATGCTCCACTTCTGTTTTCTGAACTAGCACATCCTGGTTGTTAGAGAGCCAGTGTTCAAGAGCCGCTGTGTGAGCTCAGATGTAGGATTGTAGGGAGGGATTGCAGAACTCTTGTGTTCTGGGCAGGATATATTGCTTGGAGAAATGTGCTCCAGGAGTCTGTCAGCCAGAGATGATAGGGGGAAATGAAGATGAGAGTGTTTTCTGGGAAAGTAATTCTGGGAAGGAAAATAAACCTGTCAAGGAAACAAACATCATCTAGCAATTGGTGGTGGTGGGAAAGTAGCCTAGAGACTGAGAAGCATGCAGGACAAAAATCAGATGGTGTCATGCAGCTGAAAGAGATAAGAGAAAGATGGAGGGGGTGGGGGGGGGGAAACCCTGGGAGTTGGGAGAAAGAAGATAAAAACTTCCAAGATTTATGGATGTTCTGCACATGAAATTCATTGGTTTGCCATTTGTCTGCTACATCTGGAAAACAGTTTGCTTTTAGGGACTGCGTGTAGCAGGATAGGATTTTTCTCCACAACCCCTATAAGCTACTGCTAAAATGAGAAGATTTCACAGGCTGTTTTTATTTTGGTATGTTTATTCCACCCATATTTATTGCTGAAGATACCTTTTCAGTGACAGTGGCATCTGAATTAAAGGTACTGGGAGGATGCCATGGTTCTTTAACAATGGAAGGGCAACATTTGGACCCAGGAATGACTTCTGCAATGCACAGATCAGGAAAAATGGCATTAAGATGCAGAAATGCTGAAATTTCCTGTGCTAGAAGCAGGGCAGAAGAATACAAAATGACTGGATTGCAATATTGCATTTTAAAAGCTTAATTCCTACTTCTTGCTGGAATTTGGTATAAGGTTTGTGGCTTTGGGAGCTTGATCAAAAGAAATATTGTGTTGGTATAACAAGAAAATAGGTGCAGAGAGGGCAGTGGAGGGGGCGAGTGACGCACACAGATGGGCCTTGGAGAAATGGCACATTTCAACCCTTCCCTGATTGTCTCCCAGCCACCACTCCATCAGTATCTTCTCCTGCCTTCCTCATTTCATCACCTCCAAATTGTGCTCCCTGGCAGTTATGGGAAGGGAATCAATCAGAAGCTCTGCTCCTTTCAGCCACAGCTGCGGAGGCCGCGGGGGGCTGAGATCTGATTAAGGCATTGTTGAAAATAGCTTTTGGCTTTTGTCTGAAACCACTGTCCTCAGACTCAGTCAGTGAGAGCAGGTGAACTGTGCCTGTCCTGTTATGTCACTCTACAGGTACAGGAGAAGCTACCTTTACAAAAAGGAATTTGCTTTTGAAAGAGCACCCAGAGCTGTGGCATGGGCTGCCCTGTAATACAGCACATAGCCAGCAATAGTCACAGCTGCTGTTTTATTAAAATGTGGGGGGTTTTCTTACTCAAACAACAATTTTTAAACTGTTATCTGTAATCAGTCCAGGCTTTCAAATGGTATAAAATGCTTCACAAACTTGTTTTCTGCTGAAACTGCTCCACACAGATTCCAAAGCAGCTAAGTTTGTTCCTTCAGTTTCAACACACAGGACAGGTTTGTAGAGGGTCTCAGCATGTACGCACAAGTGAAGTAAAATTTTCACTTTACTGCTATGAATTAAATCTCATAATTTAATTTGTTGGGTATTTACAAAAGGTCAGATTGATGTCAGTAATCTCAGCACCGTTCCAGGAGCAGTGCTACTTTATTAACTAGGCAGGCAAAACATTGTTTCTATGGATTGTGCATAAATAGTGTTTATAATTTTTTTTTTAATTTCCTGTCTGTGGACAAGCTGGATGAAAAAGAAATAATAGCCAAGGTCGTGTGCTAAGTTGTTAGGCTAAACCATTTCAGGCAATAACTGAATGTGGAACATGGATCTGGGTGCTGGAAATCACCGTATATTTCTAATTTAAAATCATTCTGTAAAGAGATCAGATTTTCCTGATTAAAAACCTTGAGAGGGCTTATGTTTAATATCCACATCTACATTCCACGCTGTGCTCAAATTTAATCTCTGTCTAATAACAAGGGTTTATAATGATATTGATTCAGCTAGAAGATAGTAGCATCTCCAACAGGATATTTTCACAAACCAAAAGAAGTGATGTAACTTCTCTGAGTTCCACAGAGCAAAGGACAAGAGCTGAACACCCACACTCACCTGTGTGCTGTGCAGGAAGGAGACTGGATCCCTTGCTCAACAGAGCACCAATAATTACATCATTCAAAGCTGATTTACTCTGTGTTAATCTGTTTACAAGGACGTGTAGTTGGAGAAAATAGCTGCTCTGAAGTTTAGAAAAACTCTTTTCCGAGAAAGCCTTTCAACCTTTGCTCGTTGTATCTGCCCTTTCTGCCATTCTGCTCCCAATGCCTTTATTTCCATGTTGGCAGTGCCGTGCCTGAAGTGGCTGTGAATGTATTTGTAAAATGTGACTGCCATGGGCACCAACCTATGTCTTCTGCATCTTCTGTAAAATACCTCTTTGCTTTATCCCAAGCATTTATCCCTGTGCTTCCCACTGTGGAAATTTCTACACAAGCCCTGGTGGCTCATCTTAGACCTTGCCACCTGCATGTGTCAGTGCTTTCAGCTGCACAGAAGAAAGCCATTTCTTTGTCCTTGTTCTATGGTGTTTATTTAAGTGAAAAATAAATTAAATTATGTTAAGTTATGCTATTGCCTGAGTGAAGAATGCATTCCACACACAAAGCCAACGATATTTGTTCTAATTTTATTTTTAAAAAAGAAATTATTTTACTTAAAAGCATTAATTTCACATGGACAAGCCCATTCTCGCCACCCCAGTATTCCTGTGAGAGTGACACCAAAATTATCTCAACATGTATTACCTCAGCTAAAATAATGTGAAAAGATACTACAAATGTAACAGAAAGATTTTTGCTTATGAGGCATAGCTAGTGAAGTGAAGACTGCATTACATATATTCATGTTTGAGGAGAATCTATTTGCATCTTGGAAATTTTAAGAGATACTCAGAACTGCATCTGAAAACTGAGCAAAGCTGTTGATGTAGAGGACACCAATTTTTGCAGTGGAATTTATGCAAATAGAGCAACTTCTAAGGCTTTTCATAAAGTCCTTTATCTTCAGAGCTCTCTTCCTTCCTTGTACTTTTGAAGGGAAAGTGATGTAACACTCAGACAGTGATAGCATCAATTTCCCATAAAATTCTCGCTGTGTTTACTGTCAACTGAAGTGTTTCATTCACTCCAAGCTAAATGGCGTTCAGCTGATGCCACAGTCACTCTCCAAGAGCAGACAATTCACCACACATTGGCTCCCCTGGTGCAGCTCAGGGGGGTGCAGATGCAGACATGTGTGTGTAAGAACATTTGGAGAGGGAAGCCCTCGTCGTTTTCCCCTCCTCCTCATCACCAGCCTCTCCCCGAATTGCGGGGGGCTTTTGCTTGGCACAGCAGGTGAACGTGGCCAGGAAGGCCATGCGGAAACGCTTGTTCATGAAGCAGTAAATGATGGGGTTCACACAGGCAGAAGTGTAGGACAGCAAGTGGATGAAGGAGATGGGAGCCCCCGAGAGACGCCAGTCTGCGGAAGCCGTGTCGAAGGCTCGCCAGGCATTGACACTGAAGATGGGAGTCCAGCAGATGAAAAACAAAACCACTATCACCATCAGCATACGGATGACAAGTTTCTTGGCCATTAAGTTGGCAGAAGAGCTGTTGCTTCTCACTCTCTCTATTTTGTTGTGGCTCATAGAAGAGAGCTGCTGCAATGGCATTTTCCTTTTTCTTTTGGTTTTGTTGAGGTAACATCCGTCTCCATCCTCATATTTGGCGCTGCAGGTACTTATTCTTCTTTCTGTACGTATAAAGTGCTGTTTAAATGGTTGGCAAAATATCTCTGGACAGTGAGCCAAATAAAAAATGAAGAATGCAGTTTAAATCTAAATAATATAATTCGTAACTGAGCAACTGTTGCAAAGAAAGCACTGGCCTGCTTCTGAGTCAGTCACGTTATCAGCTCCTCTGAGTCCACTGTCTCCCGATATTCTCACATCTTACCTCTACACAAACCGATGCAAAAGGTGTAAGAATGTTAATTAGCCCAGTATGGACAGAAGATGATTTTTGAGGTTATATGATTCTATTTTAATTTGACAATTTTAATTGTGACATTTTTTGACAAAAATGGTCCTCATCCATGGCCAGAAAAAAACCCTTTGTATTTCTATAATAAACAAATTAGAAGTGTAATGTATTCTGCCCTGAATCTTTGCAAACAAGCCATAGGTGAGGTTTAGTTGCTAACAGCAGAGTAGCTGTAATCAAGAAATGCGGCTGGCAAGTTCATGACATTACTGACCATAATGATCGCTTTTGCAAGCAGAAAGGTTTCCTTTTACTAGCCTCAAAATGACTGCTCGTATCTTCAACTGTAACTTAAAAAAACCCACCCCAAACCAAAATGCATTGTTACCTCGTGAAGATTTTCTCTGGCTGGCATCAAATTTTATTCCTCTGTAGAGTTCCAAAGAAATTAGACCATACGCGACCATCATTATAATCCCAGGAATAAGAAAGAGTGTGAGTAGCAGGAAAGTGTACCTAGGGAATCAAAAGACACATTGAGAGAATAGGGAATGCCACAAAACCAGAAAAAGTCCTTTCTATACAACTGAGAATTGGGGAACACGGAATTTAAGGATTTTTTAAATTTTTTTCACACCAATACAAAGTATCATTTTGAAGCTTCCTACTTCTTATCCTGCGTCCCCCAGAAAGGTACAGCAGGAACAAGACTAAAATGCCTGAAAACCATCTTTCATCCCACCTATGCAGCCCAGCTATGTGGGAGATGGGCACTCTTTAACAGTGGTTAAAGGGGGAAGAAGCTCTCTCTGCCCATGAGTGGGGTTCCCTGCTGTTACCAGAGGAGCATTGGATGCCTTGTAGCTTTGGACGATGTGAAAACTGCCTTGCAGAAGCTAAATGAGCACCTGCTGATTCTCAAAGGGATCCTTGGTACGTTAAAAATATTTTAATGTTTGGGCTCAATGATCTTGGAGGTCTTTTCCTCCAAATAATGTAAATTATTCCATTATTCTGCTTCAGAGAGATTTGACTTCCTGAGGGCAGTGGCGCACGTGGGCAAAGCCAGAGCAGCTGCAACCTTCATCCCTGGAGCCATGCAGAGCTCCTGAGGAGGGATCCCAGGATTGGAAATCTCTTTGGTAAAGGAAGCAACTTTTACTTGATTTCACATCTGCTACTCTCCTAGTCAGCTTCTCTCATGTGATGACAAGTTGGGGAAATAATGATGTTTAAATGCATCCGTGAGCCTCTGTCTCTCCTGATCCCCATGACTTTGGTGCAAACTCGGTAACACACCTGGGAATCTGTAGGGAGACCACAGAGGAGAGAATTTTGTCCTGTATCCTTCCTCCTCATACCACCAAATACCTGAGACTACTACTGAAAGCATTAATGCAAAGTCACTTTCTTTGTGGACATACCATACCAAAATGGTGCAGCCTTTAATCTTTTTCCTAGTTCCACCTGACCTTCAGTATAAAAAAAAAAATATCTTACACTTTCTCGGTGAACAGTCAGTGTTCAGTCAGTGTGCAAGGACATCATGTCTAAGTACTATTGCTTTTTGATAGTGCTGCTGTTTACCCTGCCTGGATGTGTAGGAGAGCAAACCTCTCCCCACTTCTCTCTGCCCCTATTCTCCATAAGCAACCAAAAGGATTCCCGAGACATTTGCAGCCTCATATTCTACTTCTCTGCTACAGAGGACCTTCGAACAAATTAACAGGCAAGGCAGCACACAGAGGGGTGTTTGTCTGTTTCTCAAAGATTAATAAAGGACTCCTCTGAGAATACTGAAGTTTATGTGTAAATGAGTGAAAAGCAGTATTCCTACCACAAGTGACAGATGCTTTCTTTACAGTGACAGCTGGGGCTTAGCAGACCATGGTGTGAGAATCATTGCCATATCTTTTTTATGACAAGGGAAAATTCATGTAAATATCAAAATATAAGCAGCTTAAAAATGTTGGGGTTTTTTTACATCTTAAATAAGCATGATAGAGTGTAAATATTTGCTGAAGGTTGATACTTGATTTTTCATAGGCTTATTGCAACCATGAAATCCCGTTTTCCAGCAGATGATTACACATTTACTAACAGCCAGTTATGTCTTACCAAGACTGTTGAATGACATCGCTTGGCCAAAGGAGCCGACACATATTTGCTGTGGTGTTGTTGTACTTGGTGAAAGGTACCAGTTTGCTGTAGATTGGGTATGGTGACATGATAGTAAAGGAGACACACCAGGTCGCAGCAATGACTCTCAGGGCATGAGATTTTGTCTGCCAGACCCTGGACTGCAGCGGTTTGCAAATGGCACTGTATCTCTCCAAAGATATGGCAACCAGGTTGAATGTAGAGACACTTACGGAGACACCTATATATATATATATATAACATAAAAAAGTAGTTTATTCTCTTGTTTTAAAGGTTGTGTTCAAATGGTCTTGCTAGCTTGCTGTATGCATACAAAGATTTAAAAATATAGCAAACTACTTATAACAAAGGTATTTATAAACACTGATTAGGGGTGGTGGGTCTGTGTCTCCAGACCACTCCAGACTGATATGCCTTTTCTGCGCTTCTCTTACTCCAAAAGTCCAAGAAAAAATACACACTCTGTCAAACCATAAATTCTGGCAGCAGGGGACGAAGACAATTTTACTCCTAATTATTCTCTTTGCTACTGTGGTTTATTCACTCCACTAATTGCACTGAAATTCAAACAAAGCATTTGAAATCAGTTAATTACTCTCTTAACACAGATGTTCACAGTCCCTTTTCTATTGTTTTAATTTTTTTGAGTGTCCTGCTTGACTTGTGATCTGATTTTCTCATTCAAGATAGTTAAATCTATTACAACTTTTTAATTAGATGCTAATGGAGTTACAAACAAGGAGAAATGAAGTCATGAAGCAGAATCTTTGTCCTTTGAGTACCCTTAATTTCTTCTGTTCAGATTTTATAAAATACAGTGCAGTTGTCTGTGTTTCTGTCATTGAGGTGCCCAAGTTCACCACTGTAAAATTATAAATATTTCTTCTTAACTTTGCCATAAACTTATCTTTCAGTGAATGATCTTTTATTTGTCTTTGTGAATGTGGGTCAGACTATAAAATGCCAATATTGTTACAGTTGGCATTACAGAAATCATTTGTAATTGAAAATTTCTCTTTCTACATCTTAAAATGAAAAAATGAGCATAGTTGATGCAATGGTTGTCAGTGTCTGTCAGCTGAGTCCTCTGTTACCTGAACCTTTACTGGGAAATCTTCACATTCTGACTCTTAAAATAAAACAGCTTCCTAATGAGAAATTTTATGTTGGTCTATTTCAGTGGATCTTTTTATAAAGTAATTTACACTGTGTGCAAAAAGAGGAAGATGACAATGCTTCAGTAATGTTTAATGGTATGTTTGCCAGCAATTCATTATAATTGTTTAAACATGGCCTTTAGTTCTATTGGTTTTATCTACAAAAAGATGTTGATTTCCCATTCACAGACTTTAGGTGTATACTTTCACATTACATCAAAGTTCTCAAGGGCATGGGTTGAAAAGGGACCAGAGGTTTCTGTAATCAACTAAAGGTCTCCCAAAGCGGCAAAAACTTTACATAATGTTCTCCTTTCTTCTTTCTTTTTATTCTTCAGTTTGGTTCTGTTTTGTTTGTTTTCATTTTTTTTGCTTAAGAAACAAGCAAATGCAGAGGAAACTTTAAAGTGAGACAAAAATCACTTACACACACATACACCACGCAGATATTTTGAAACTCCTAGCTCCTGGCTCCACAGCCAAAAGTATGGCAAGGCATACAAAAGTGATGCTTCTTAAAGTTAGCCTCTAAAATCTATATCTGTGTCTTATGGTCTTCTGGTAAGCTCTGGTCACACCTGGTCTGACTGCAAAGAGTACTTGCTCAAACTTCCAGATCTGCAAATTACACCTACTTTGGCCTATTTCTCTTTTCTTTTTTATGTACCACTGCTGCCAAAAATCTGTGGGTAAAACCTGCCCTTAGTGAGGGTGTACAAGCCTATCATTTCTGCTGGGTGATCAGAACACTGATAAGAATCATGTCAGTGATGGGTGGTCAAGTGCATGTGCTGGGTTCCCCATTAAAGTTTGATCATGCAACACCTTCACATACAGCAAAACACTTCTGTATGCCGTTAAAGTTAATTGTGTGCCTCTGTGTTTTTCTGGATCAGACCAAGGACACCAGAACCCTGAAGATTTGCACTACAAAGTTGTTTCTTCATAATATTGGTAACTTCAATGGTGGATGGAAGCAATCAGCCTTTGATAGATCTTTAAATACCTTCTCACCTGTCTCATTAGTCAGTCTTCAAAATAGGTATAAACTTCCCAGACTTACCCATGAAATAAGTGGCAGTTTTGCAAACAGCACTTCCAAAAATAAAATCTTTTAGCAGGTTGGGAATGAGGGTGAAAGGCATGCAGAAAAGGCAGAGCATCAGGTCGCTGACTGCCAGTGACAGCAGAAACGTGTTGGTGACTGTTCTCATCCGCTTGTTTCTTATCAGCACCGTAATCACCAGAATGTTCCCCAAAATGCTGAGCAGAAATATCAAGCAATACAGCAGAATCCGTATTATCTGATGCAAATCTGGAAATTGTCACAAGAAAAGATGAGTTACACAGTATTCAACTCAGATTAATATTATGTATTTCAACCTTAAATCAAAAGGTAAAAGACTTCTGTATTCAATTTTATGAAGGTTTATGTCTTTATGGCAATGCAAAATCAGTAAAAGTGCTGAAATTCTCAAATGTGTTCTGATCTACCTAAGTTGCATTGAATTGAACTACATTACAAGCAATACAATGTACATTTGGAGAGTCAAATACAACTTCTTAAAGCATGTGCTTCTCACGCTACTTACTGTGCACCACTTACTCACCATGGGAGATCCTATTTTATGTAAAAGTGAGAAAAGATCAAGCAATCAAAAGACATTTTAATATATGGATTTTTTTTTTCAGCTTCTGAGTGCTGTAATTTCATATTAAATCACTTTCATACATGGTATCAGATCTGATCACTCCATTGTTATTAAATTGAGTAAAAATCCTGTTTCACCAAGTCCTTAGCAGAGATATTTGCATTTTTTGCTCCAAAGTGCTACTGTTTTAGTTTTCCATTATATCCAAATTTTGTCCTAGTTCAATTTTGAACTTGGAAAACCATCACATGCTAAATTTTTTGCTGCCTGTGTCTCATACTAACTTAAAAGCAAGCAGTTGATTTTGCACTCTCTCAGAGAAAACACCTTGCATAGCTCTTTCTTTCTATAGTATCTCTACATCCAGCTAGAATGAAAACTGCCTGGAAAAAATCCATTTCCAAACACACATACCTTTAGAAGGATAAGGTGCATCATCCACACAGAAAAAAGTGTCATTCTCCAAGATGATATCGCAGAGGAAATCAGTAATGTTGGTACCATTCCCAAGGAAGCTACTAACATCAACTATTTCCATTCTTCAGTATCCACAGGTTAGCTCTGATGAAGAATAAGGTGGGTTTGTAACTATCTGTCCATGCTTTCAGTAAACAAATACGTTTCTGAATGAAGTCTTCAGAGGAAATACAAGAGAGGCAGCTGTGCAAGGAAGCTGTTCTGACTCTCCAGCAGGAGCACCCAGCACAGAGAGTCCTGCTCTGGCTGAGCAGGATTTATTCCAGGGGCACACCCGGCAGTAGAGAGAAGCAAAGCGTGTGCACACACACACACACTCACACATATGCACACACACACACAGGCACACACAGAGCCCCTCCGGCACTTTTTAGATCCACCCTCTTCTGTTACCGCACCACTGTTGGGATTATAAACAGGCTAGAAAAAGATTACTGCATTAACCCTTTGCAAGATTGCTTCTACTCATGTCTCTGCAATATTTCTCAGAGTCAGCCTGTTATGTCACAGCCTATAAATGAGACCTGGTGAGTGAGGAGAGGGATAAATCTGTCTCTCAACTAACATTTAAAATTGTAGGAGTCACTTAATAAAAGGGCAGAGAGGAAAGAAACATAGTGAAGATTTTGCATTCCTTACATGGAAATTATTCTTGTCTTCATATTTTTCAGAGTAAACTGAAGATAGGGAAGACTCAGAAAAATAGTAAAAGCAGCTACATTTATCTCATTTGGCAAAGTGCTAGTTTCATATGGAAGTGCTGTACGTGCCTGATCCAAATCCCAGCAAGCCAACAGAAAAACTCACTAATTTCACTTAGTGGATCAAATCTTATGCAAGTCTATTAAGATTGTCACTTAGTATAAGCAGAAGCCCATACATTTCCTCTGTGCAAGAACTTTTATGTGACTCGACAAACTTGATAAATCTGAAAAATTGTGGCACATTAATTACACACCAGCGGAAAACACAAAGATCTTGATGATTTAAACTGCTTTTTTAATGCACAATACATAATCATCCTCACTGGTGTTTTCACAAAGTCATGGGCTTTTACTTTATACAGCTTGTTTATGGCCAGAAATGCAAATTAATATTAGAAATTAATCTCTACTATAACTGAATGAAAAACTAATTTCACATTTAAAATCCCTTTTATGTAAAAGCAGAGCAGTAACAGGTTCTTTATAAGAAATTCTGACCCCTCAAAACTGATATACACAGACTGGAAAGACTGACTTTCTTTTCTGGTCTTGCCAGCTTTGCTTTATTGTATGAATAATGGGAACAGGTATGTAGGAAAGTACAAGTTACACTGAAAGTTATAATTTTTCAATTAATAATTATATTTTAATTAATTAAACATAAAAAAATCAATAACATTTAATCAACTTTAAAAATAATAAAACCTAATAATTAATAAAACTGGTTTAATTAAATATAATAATATTTCTAATAATTCTAGTTTCTCAGTTCATAACTTCTCAAATTCTTTGTACCTCTGGGAGTGCTGGATGCAGCTGGCCATCAGTGGTCCATAGCACTGCACGGTGCCACTGCCCACCTTGCTCTCAGGGTGTGAGAGGCTGGCCAGGGCTGCAGGACAGCGATTAACACCGTAAAGCCAGTGCAGATCTCTCACATCATTCTCAAACATGTGTGGGACGGGGTGAAGCTTCTCCTGGACAGCAGGAGCCCCTCACTGAGCCCCAGCCCAAGGGATGGGCCCACCTCAGTGTCAAGACATGCTTGCTAAGCCCATGCAGGATGGATGAAGCCAGTGAGGCCAGCAGCCACGGCTGGAGGCTTCACAGAGTCGGTGAAAAGGCAAACTGAGCCGGGCTGCACTGGACTCAGCTCACTTTGTGTGCTGTGCAGACAGCAAAGGAGCCAAGAACACAGGGGTAGGAGACAGCACGTGCAGCACGGGCTTGAAGAGCTGAGGGATAAGTACTGAGCCATGAGTAACTCCAGAAGGTACTGATTTCAACCAAAAACAAGAGCAGAATATGTGACGGAATGATATTCTGTGCAAACTCCAGCAAGTGTGGAACCACTGTTTAAAGCAAACTGGATCTCCTTGTTCACATGCTCAGGACTCTGAATGTATAAGGTGCAGCTTTCCTCTACAAATTTGTCCAGAGATTTTTATCTGTTACTAGAGTCCTCATCAGCTTTCCTTCTCTGAATGCCAGGCTTACGGACTGGCTCATAATTCCAAGGGTTTAGTTCCCCTGGAGTCCTTTTTAAACATTGGCATCACATTTACACAGTTTTTTTCCCCCGGCAACAATGTAGTTCTAAACAATAGATTGCACATCATAGTTAATAATTTTACTATTTCCTTTAGAAGTTCTGGATGAATACCATCTGGTCCTGGGCTGAGCTTGATTCAGCATCTGCTAGTTAAATTGCCAGAGTAAATGAGGAAGAATTTGCTCTGAACTCTTGATTCCCCTTTTGGAGTGTATTTCTGCATGAAACATATCAAGATCAAAGAGTTTTGTTTTTCTAGGCTTTTATTTTGCATAGATTTACTCAAATGTACAGCCAATAGCCCTCATGTTTGGACAGTTCTGAGTTGCCTTTATAATAAAATTTCTCTCCACTACATTTAACTAACTGCTCGATAGATCACCCTCCATGCATCTCACTGTCTCCCTGCAAGTTTCAGGAGAGAAAAAAAGGAGGTTTTAATGAAATGCTTGCTCATCGCAGATGTAATTTTATCATTTAGGAGAAACAAAAACCTGAGTGTCTGTCCACTTGTACTTAATCATGCATTATTTGGGATGTTGAAAGTTTTAGGCAAGAACTTGTCTGGAGCAGGCTTTTTTATTAGCAACACTGATTTATTACTAAAATTGTTTTTAAATTAAGAAATATTATAGGTATCTTAATATGACTGTATTGGTAGTTTAGAGAAAAGTATACAAAAATATTTTCTCTGTATTTGAAGGAGGCTTGCTAATCCATGATAACAAAATAATCTGTCTTTTTTTTCCCTTTTAATTCTAATCTTAATCCTTTTCTACTCTGTAATGTCAGATACTGAACACACTGCCCTTGCAGCCAAAACAGTTGCTGTGCTCTGTCATTTCCTGCTATGTGTATGTATTTTTTCTCATCCAAAACTAAACCACATCAATTTACAGTTTCCTCATTCTTTTTTCCTGAAGAATACTCTGTTCTGTTTTTTCATTAATTTGACAAATATATTTACTTATTTTAAATAGAAAGTCCACTTGTGAAATGATGAATTTGGAAAAGCATATCTTTATCTGGTGTCAAATTTACAAATATGTTTAGGTTCGTTGACAGGTCTTTTTTTGTCCTGACAGGTAAAATTAAATAATACTATTAGAAAAAACATATATGGATTGTCATGGTTTACCTCTGTTCTCACTTGCCAGGTTTATGCTGACATTAGGCCTCTGTTTCAGTGGAGTTACTCTCACAGGCACAAACTACAGGGAGATCAGAACTAGGCCACACTTTTGGAGAATGCACAAAATTCTCATCAACACATTTACTGTAAACTTTTTCAAGGCAATCTGAGCCTAAGTATATCTCAGTAAGTGGATTTAAACAATTTATTTAATTCTGATCTGAACTAAATAACATAAGGATGAAATTTACTTCCGAGCACCTTGTTGTACAATCAGTGATTTCTGAATCACTGGGATCAAAGGCAAACAAGGTGCTCCTGCTGCCCCTGCAGTGCTTCTGCCATGTGTTACATGGCATGCTGCTTAATAAATCTCTGGAAGACTCCAGAGATCTTCAATGATGAAATTCTTGTGTTTAGGTCACCTTATTATCAAGACACATTTCAAGGTATCTTTTAAATTGTTTGGGGGTGACCACTTTTCACTGATTTGAAGTGCCAATTCATAGTGCTTGAACTTCCTGGATATTTGCAGTACCATCTACTTGTGAGATGCCTGTGAGATGCTACACAGCTGGTCCTGATGTCCATCCAGGCAGCCTGTCCTACCACCTTCCTCAGCAGAGAGGAAATGAGCCCTCCCAGGTGATGGCTGTGAGTTCTGTACTGTGTTCAAGGCTCTCTCTCTGATGAATGGGATGAATAAAGCATATTGTCCTGTAAATTCTCAGGTTCAGTTTCATAACCATGGTGAAGTTTCTATGGGCTTTCTATGGGGTGCAAAAGCGACTTCTGCTCCAGGGATTTCTATGCAAGTTCTGTATACAATTTAGGGAAACTGCTTCAAAGAAACATGCATAAATAATTTGTCCAGTGTAACATAAGTTCTCATAACAGTCCTTCTGTCACCCTCTGATATTACTGAAGTCTGGGGTGAGTCATTATCCACTCACTCCACCCAAATGGTTCACTGTGCATGTTGCTACCCTTGTTGGCACTTCTCAGACTGTCACTGAGCTCAGCTGCATCTCCTCTCCCCATAAAAACCTATTAAAAACCGAGGGCAGTAGTACATCAATGCCCTCTGAACAAGTGAAGCTGATCCTTTTCTGTCTTATCATAAGGAATACAGAAGTGCTGTGAGGAATGAATACATACCCATGAAAGAGGAATATAGATATTTTTAAAAGGTGCTTGGTTTTTTTGCAGGCTATACATGATGTTGTACAACCTTTTTTGTCCCTTCACCTTGTGAATATTAATTTGCTAGGAAAAAAACAGTTCAGGATTTAAGCTAGAGAGGCAAGCAAACAGCCCTGAATACCCTTATACTGAGGGTATATTATGTGCTAGAACCTCATACCAACTAACCTGCGTCAACACATGACCTAGATCACTTTTTTTGGATTATATTAACACCATCAAATGTTGGTACCATTAACGTTCTCCTTTGAGCAAATCTTTGCATACTAGACCAACATCAGTCAAAGTCAAAATCATGTTCTAAGGAACTGGTCATCTGGGACTTTCTGAGGTACAGTCACAGCATGATTTCTAAAAAACAGATAAAAGATCAGGGATTGCCACCAGAAACCACCCCAATAGGTTATAATGTCAACAACAAAATGGTACAATTCCTCTTGACAGTACTCAACTCCTTAAAGCTCAAAGAAGCTCCTCAAAGCTCAACAGGCTGCTAAATAAAATCCCACCTGTAACAACTGAGAACTGTAGTCT